GCTGCTGAAAACATAGATACAATGTTGCGGTCCGAGCCCGGCTGAATGGAAGCCGGTTTCTGGTGTTTTGTTTAGCTTCTTATTTGCAACATAGTATATAGTTGCTTAGAGTTGCAGCTGAGAGGCCGGCAAGTGAGGCGGGGAACGTTGGAGTCTGCAGCAAGCAAGCCTCGTGCTCGCTTCAGTGCCTGGCTGCCGGCCGCCATCTTGGCTGACAGTTAATTTGCATATACTCACTGATTAGCCAATGAAAAGGGTAGCGGTCGTACGCTAATTACCATGTTTCTCTTTTATTAGTGTAGATAAGGGATAGAAAATTCACCTGAATTCCTTCTTGGGAAGTTAAAAATGTTAGTTGAACAAAAGAAGACTGCCCATTCAAGCTTTATAATAAAGCTCTACCAGGTATGGTAAAGATGCTTTGTGAGTCCTATTTTTATTATAGTTTAGGAATTTCATCATTATAAACATCTCTGTACTTAAATAATTCAAAAGAAATGGGTGCTATACCATGGACAATTCTTGGAAATACCTCCCGTAATAGGTATTCCTTGGTAGCCAGTTTCAGAATTTGTTAAGCATTGCACAAAAAAAATTCTTCCCTGATGAATACCTTAACATGCTCTTGTTTAACTGGTTCCTTCTAGCTCCAAGGAAAACCCCCTATTTCTATCTAAAGTGACCTGCAATTCTTGCTAACCAGCCTTCCCCATATGGAGTTAAAGTTCTTTGTTCTCCAGAGAGTCTCAGTATGAGTGTTTACAAAACTCTAGAGAAAATGTAGTTGAACCTTACACATGACTTCGATGAAGGAATAGATGCAATGCCAACAGAAATTAACTTCCATATAAAGCCAGAACGAATAGGATGGGATCATAAAGAGAACCGGGAAATGTTTTCCAAAAGACTCAGCAGGCAAATAAATCTATATTTCCAAATCAATGCTTCCCCAAACTCATGGAGAAAAGTAAATAATAGTTTTAGGGTAACATGGCTTTCCAAATTTACTACTTACAATTAAAGTCCGTAAGTAGTCCCCAATGGTGCTTCAAAAAATTCCTGAGTGTGTTCTCATTGGCTTTATTCTAAACTCTTAGGGCACAGTAATATTTTCCTTTCTGTTTTTACCAGGAGACACACATGAGTAGAACATTCCCTCCCTGATATATGTATGTGTATATCATGGAAAAGATAAACTTCTCAATGCCTGGTGAAGAATTTGAACAGATCTTTCTCTCATCGGTGAGTTGATTTTTAAGCTGCTAAGCTACCGTTCCCTGTTGGGCACTGTAGTGATGAAATACACAGAAAAAGGGCCACTGTTGTGTACCCAATAGATAGCTTGGAAATACATGTACTCATCTAGGATAAAATTGAATTTTTCTTTTCACTGAATTATTAGTGAAATACTGTCTTCAAGGTTGAGGCTCCCAGAGGTGGTTTGTGGATGTATAAATTGAATGAGTTTGTAAGTGTGCATATATGTGTGTGTGTAGAGAATTTTTCATGCCATGAATTAATTCTGAAATGACTTCTCAGAGTTGCTGTAGTCCTCTTCTTCCACACATAGAGAATAATTGGACTCTTTGTTCAATTGAGAAAATGAGGCAGGGATGGGTGGAGGAGTAACTTCAGAAGGAGATCATAAAAGCAGTCCAGAGGAAATTTAATTTTATCTGTGAAAACAACCAGAACTCAACTCCCCTCCAAACAAGTTAGGAAGGGTGACTCCTATTGCAGTTACAGTGTGTTCCCTGCTGGAGCAGCTGTGCTGAGGCTGTGGGTTAGTTGGAAGAAGTTGTGTATAGAAGACATTAGAGGAAGAGCATATTTGATTGGTCTTTGGTTGAACATTTTTATGATCAGCCAAAGCCAAAATGATTTGCTGTGGACCAACTATGGTATCTCCCATTCTTTGCTATCTTGTCTTCTTGTCTCCTTTGCCCCCTTTGAGTACATTTATTAACTTACATTTCCCAAAGAATTGTCAACTTGCATGATCCTAGTTTTGGCATTTTTTCTTCCCAATCACTTGTCCAGACCCCTGCCCTTCTCTTTAGCTCAGTCACTCCTTCCTTCTCCTGTTGTCTTTATTATCTCCTCTTTCTCCTGCCTTCTTTCCATCACATTTCTCTTCTCTCTCTTTAAAGGCTGGACTAATCTTGGGCAAACTTGTGATATTTCAATCTCTCACTTTAAAAAAAATATACATATATTTTTTATTGATTTCAGAGAGGAAGGCAGAGGGAGAGGGAGACAGAAACATCAACGATGAGAGAGAATCATGGATTGGCTGCCTCCTGCATGTCCCCCACTGGGGATTGAGCCTGCAACCCAGGCAGGTGCCCTGACTGGGAATCGAACTGTGACCTCCTGGTTCATAGGTCAACGCTCAACCACTGAGCCACGCCGGTCAGGCTCAATCTCTCAGTTTTTTAGATCTGGATTGTTCCTCTCCTCATTGATTTCTGCTTTTCTACTGTCCAGTGCTATTATGTTCGTTTTCCATCAAAGTAAAAACAAAGGGGGGGGACTTAATTCCTTTAAATATTATTTTTCTGGGATGAATCTTAGCTTAATAGCTACCAAAGTGTTTAGATAAAAGGATGAAACACCAACGTGGAATTTCAGGGGAGATGGGCTGGAATTCTGGGGGATTTCCATGTGTCCTACAGTCCTGTTTTCTTTGTCCTTCATATAACTCCGTGAAGCAGTGGGAATGTAGCTCTGAGAAGTCCTTTGATTTCCTCTTTCAGAACCTTGGAGTGTTTAGGACCTTCTGAGAGGAAGGAAGCACCTGAGCAATAAATTTTGGAACTGGGTCCCCAGAAGCAGCAAAACTGAGCCAGAAGTTTAAGCAGACACAAAGAGCCAGGAGAGGGCTGGCTGCTGGGACAGGGTTGCTTATTTAGCTCCGTGCAGATCTGGGTGCAAAGAGCACCCTTAAATGGGGAAACTGATTTATAACAACCAAACTCGGGTGGGGTGAAGCTGCCATTGTCTAAAAAGATCAGTATTTAGGTTGCTAATCCAGAAAATTGACAGATATTGTCCAGATATTGTGACTATCCATCGGCAGTTTTGGGACTCTGATCACAAGAAGAATGCTTCAACCACACTTAGTGCCTCCAGATGCTTTCCAGAGACCCTCTAACTCTGATGCCTTTATTTTTATGTATTTATTTTTTTAACGATTTTATTTTTATTGATTTTTAGAGAGAGAGAAAGGGAGAGGGAAATAGAAACATCAATGTGAGAGCGGAACATCAATCAGCTGCCTCCTGCACTCCAGGGATCAAGCCTGCAACCTGGGTATGTGCCCTGACTGGGAATCCAACCAGAAACTTTTGGGTGCATGCAACAATGCCGAACCAACTAAGCCACACCAGCCAGGGGTCAGATTTGGCCTTTCAAACTCAACTCAGTGTCCCTGGTCTGGAAGGCCGTCCCTGACCACGCAGTCAGTGGGGCAATGCCCTTCCCAGTGCTCCCACGGACCTTGTTTTTGTGCGAG